ATAACGAATTTAAGTCACTACTTAAAACTCACCTGTTTCATTAACTGCTTTATTTCATAATATTACTGTGAAGCGCATCGAGATGTGCTATGTGATGTGCTATATAAGAAATGTGTTATTATTATTATTATTATTTGTGCTGTAAAACCAAAGGAGGGTTAAACTAGGACTCTAAGGGTCAACTCCTAGACTGCCTCTGTATCCTTGGCTCCACACTTGTGCAGTAAAACAGTGGCCAGACATGACCAAATTAATTTTTGAGATCTATTCATTTTGTGTCCCATTTGAAAGCAGCATTTACCTCCTTAATACTGAGGGAAGCATTCGCTGCTGGGTGACACGATTTCCCTACCCCTCATTACCGAGATATTTGGAGGAGAATTTTGCTGCTCTGTTTGTACTTATTGTAGTAGGTGTAGTGTACAATATGACACGGCTGTGTGTTTTTGTGCGGCTTACCAACTCACCCAAAGAGTGACTTCAGCGTAGGAGGGTTAATGGAAACAAGCTAAAAATGTACAATGTCGTGGTCCCAGTTTTTATTCTTTGGCACCATATGCTTGTAAGAAGCCACAACTAAATTTACTTGGCTGCAGTTGACTTTAGATGTCACCTAAGGAAGCCATGTGTGCCAGTGTTGGTAGCCTTTTTCTATATCAGGGTGTGTTAGTGCTGGTCGTAATTTGATAACTCAGATGTGGTTTACCACCTGACCTGTACAGCAGTCAATATTTTTCTTGCAGTTAAATCACTACATGAAGATGATGTGGTACTGTTAAAACCTTTGGCCATCTTGTGCACCAATTAATGTTTAACTCAGAATATGGACCATTAGATAATGTTCAACTTTGGGGGTTCATTTTTCCTAAAGTGAACAGCAGTGAATTAATTCCCGATGTCTGATGAAATGAGGGAAGTCATGGCTGATATCTGGAACAATGATGACCGTACCCATCTTTCAACTTAATTGGAGTTCATTAACCCTAACAGTACCGGTGTTGTTTGGCTTAGAGTACTCAGTACTACAAAATACTCTGCAACACTCTGAGCCTGAAGGACCTAGCACTACAAATTACTATTTCTGGCTAGGTTTATTCCATTGGTTACTTCTACAGAGAACAATGAAACCATGCATTCATAGTGCCACAGCATTGTATGGTATATTGTCTTCTCTATTGTATTTTATGGCTTTAGAGAATAATAATGTCATGTCCTTTTTACAGGGCTGAGTACTACATTTTACTACTAAGTAGTACTTTGTAGCATTCGGGACTGTTAGGTTTAAAGTCTCGAATGTCAGCATTTTTTATGGACGTGAACAACCTTTTGAAATCCTAGCCAATAAAATTTACCGAGGAGTGAGAATCCCTGTGGTTATTTTACACAGTTATGGTGAAAGGTGATAATATTTACATTAAAACAATATTTATATTAAAACCATAATTACGAAATTAAAAAATTCCTATCACAATTATTTGGGTCCCGAAGTCTGCAGTCTTGAACGTCATTCAATTCGATTCAGAATCGACGCACAACACAAGCTTTAAAAAAAGTGCAAAAAAGCACCTCCAAACCATCATCCTTTTACGACTGCACCGATCACATTTTCTTTAAGTACGTTTTTGAAAACTGCAGTCCAAAATACTGATTGTGGCGATTTTCCAGCTTCCATCATTATCTCATGGTCACGTTAGAGAAACGTTTTGCTGTATTGTGGGCTGTTGACCTCTGACATCAACCCAGATAGTGTGCCTCTTTTTCATTCAATATTTATGAGTTCATCCATGGAATGGCGACGTTCCGGGATTTTTCTCTCCATACCAAGGTTTCTCAAAAGAAGCTCTGTCATACTGAATGACGTTCGCAAAAAAATGACGTCTGAGACATTAAATACAATTCATGATGAAAATCTAATGCACGGAGTTGTTGATTTTAATTTAATTTTCAGCAGGAATATCTACAGAATAACTGGCAAAATGAACATAGTGCATGGAATTTTCAAGCACTACATGTGACAGGGTTTTCAGCATTCTCGAATGTCATGCATTTTTTGTCAAAATTCTTGAGCATCATCAAAATTCTTTCAAATATGACGTTTGCAACGAACATATTGTACTCATTATACATTTTTGATGCAGCCAAACTGGAAGATTATTTTCGGTGGTTGAAAAGGTACATGTATAAGATCTGGCAGATATGTTGGTATAGTGAGAGTGATCGTAAACGGTAAGAGAATGAAGACAGCCAAACTTTTCTCATCATTTTCTGTCAATTTTGTGCTCTTTTTTAATGGCTTATATTTTTTAAAAGTTATTTCTTGGGCGCTTTAAAATACATCATTTGAAAAATATACTGAATTCTCCTCGTTGAGAGGGGTTTTGAAATCAAGTCTTCTGGTGGAAATACTTTGACGTAAAACTTTACATGAATTCAACTCCATTTGATTTGCACTGGTAGCCAACCAAATGTACATGTACACCAAATGTACACAGCATGCCTAATTATCCCCAAATAATCATTTTTATTGATCTGAAGGTGCTAATTTGTATTTTACATGATCAAAGTCACTCTTTTAGAAGTTTTGAAAAATGACATGGGAAGTTGATTTGTGGTCCATTGTATAAAGAATATGCCAAATGATCTTTATGCAGATGCTCACGTAACAAAGCCAGTTTTCTCTCTAGGTTGTACATCTTGTGGATGTGTGACACGTCAAGGAGGGGGAAAAAATCTCACCGAATTTTTTGGGATTTCCTCAATTGCCGAAGGCGTCACAAGTAGAGTCAAGAATCCAACCTGCACCATGCAGGCTACACACAACTTACAGAACGCCGCCGCCAATGCTAGGCAAATGATGAGCGGGCAAATGCCTGTCAGTAGTTCCTGCCTACCAGCGGGCATTGCACCGGGCGTGTCTGGAGGGATAGCAGGTATCGCACAGACACGACTAGCACAGGAAAGAAAAGCCTGGAGAAAGTCTCATCCATTTGTAAGTACACCTGTGCATGCAAGACTGTAACACTTGTTAAAACTTGGTACGGAGTAATCAATGTTACTGAAATAAGTGTTCTCAAGCCTTGTGCTTATTGAACTTTGAAGCTGTTTGTGAGCACAAATACTGTTGAACCTTATTAATTCTGCAATAAAACGAGATCTTTAGGCCTGAATCCTTTTTTTTATTGTTTCCTGATTATACAAGATAATCTACAAGGTCTGAAGGACCTCTTATTAATAAGGTTCGACTGTACATTGTTTTAAGGCATCACTTTAATTTCATTACACCTTACATGTATAATTAAGCCTTCCTGTTGAAAATATGTACCAAAGATCATATACATGTAGCTCGGTGCGCACTGCGTAGGCATATTTCTTGCTCAAATGGCACCCATGCGATTGCGACGTTTTATAAATGTACAGGTATTCGTATTCACGATGAAGTTCTCCATCTTTCATTGCTACGTGGCGCTATATGATCTTTGATATGTACACATTTATACATAGACCATCTTCTGCAGAGTTTGAGTACATACAAGCTGAAAGACCATGAGATTTCCTGAAAATGGCTACAAATTGGTTGAAAATTATGTCGAGCAGGACACAGCCAAGAGGTCATTTGGGAAAAACACCTGTGTTATTGGTATATTTAATAAGCTAGTACTTCTTACGTGTAGTTCACTTTAGTGTATGCCACAAACTTGAATGCTTATGTTGATATCATAGCTGCACCCTCTTATGACAGGATTTAGTCTGGCCTTGGTGAATAAAAAAATCTTGCACTTTTAAAAAACACGTCAAAGTTATCTATTATTTTATTCCAATTTTCACTTTAACCTCCCCTGAATATAAGTTCATTTGAAATTCCTTTCATGGTCCCTTTTGTCACTAAACAATCAAGAATTTTTGTTTTTGACTGTGAACCTTGTTTTTTGCGTCGTCTTCTTAAAGGGATTTGTTGCTAAACCTACAAAGCACGCTGACGGGACGCTGAATTTGATGAATTGGGAATGTGGTAAGTTTGTGTTGAGTTGGATGAGCAAGGAAGTCATCGCTGTTAGATTTTGCGTGGCATTGCCACTATATGACACATATCGTCGGAACTTGGCTTTGAAAAAAAAAGGTTATTGAGACTGTTTTGTCAACTTTGTTTTGGACCGCTTTAGTCTGTAACATGCATGTAAGGTTATTAACCCTGACCCCTAGAGTGTAAGTAAAATCATATGAAAATCAGAGGTGTGAGGACTGTTAGGGTTAAGGAAAAAAGACCCTTTATGAAAGCATTGGTCTTGTGTTTCAATATTGTTGGTTAAATGTCATGGCCCTTGTCTTGCAACTTGTTTGAGTCACATTTCTTTGAAATGCCAAGAAACATCATAATGCTTTGAAGATGTTTATCAGGGATAAAGGTCACACTAAGTTACATTATAGCATTGATGATGTACTACTTTCACTTCATTCCTCCAGCAATTCCAGGAAAGAAAGGGGTAAGTTGCATTGTTCTTTCCCTTCCCCTCAACACTTACATTTCCAAATGATATTATATCAGAACCCCAGTGAATGCGCAACACCTGACCATTGGTGGAAATTGTCGAATCAGCGGTAAAGCAAGACTCATCATTAATTCCTTTTGCTGTAACCGTTAAAAACAATCCAAAATTCCTTCCACTTTCCCTGTACGATACATAGACATGTCATATGTCACTTGACTGATTTTGACTGATAGGACAACTGTGTTGAGAATGCATTTTTGCATAGGAGGGTCAAGTATGGTTTGAGGTTTTGCATTGTTTAACACTAAGGCAGATGATAGCTTTCGAGGTCAACCATGAAGTGTGGTTCTGAAAAGAACTGGTTGTGAAGGTATTTTTGAGGTACTAACCAGTATACTCTGTTTATCCTCCTGAAAATGAACCGGGTTTCGGAGCTGTCGTCGACCTCAGACTCTTTCTTGTGACCTTATACAGGTTTCACTCATAGTTATTGTTAGAATTGACAGAGCCTGTACCATTCCTTCCTGCATTATGAAAATCTTTCAGCGTAGTTAGATATCTAACACGTACACTTCTTTTGCTCTGTTTGAACAGACGGCTTGGGAGAAGGGGTCATATTTCTTGAGGATGATCTTCAAAGATGACTACCCCTCATCACCACCAAAATGTAAGAAATGAATTTGGTCCTTCGCAAAACATACATACATGCATACGACATAGCATACGCTCACATCATGGCTAAACTTTACAAGTTATCACCTTGAAAGGTCGACCTGCCCTGTGGAAGAGGCTGTTACAGTCATAAAATTTCCATTCCGTGGGGCAGCAGATCTACGGATCACAGTAGATTTATTGCTATTGCTGCCCCTGGCCCATCTGGGAGTACCGATCTGTTTTGTACTGTACCAATTGTTCTGTGTTATCCTGTCATGTCTATTGTCTTGGCCAAATAAATAATAATAATTATTTCAATTAAACAAATAATGCTTAAACACTTCCTGCCGGGGACTCCGGAATCGGAGACGTATGCTTTATATGCGTGGCTGGGGTCTTTTTGAACTCGGACAAAGGAAATGGGGCCCTGTAACAAAAGACCGTACTCCGAACAAAAGACCAGGCTGCTGGGCATTATTGACATGTTTCACTCTCAAAAGTGGCGATAATCCAGTCTTGTTTTGAAACCTTATACCAGGGTTTGGGATATTTATAGCGAGTAGATTACCACCGGGGACAAAAGCGCTCCACCACTGCAGTGATGAGCCACACATCACCGCTGCACGCTAATCTGGCCCCTATTGAAAAGAGATCAGCAGTGCACTGAGCCATGTTCGTGAACAAAAGAAAGTTACATAACACCGCACAATCTCAGCTCTTTTTACAAGGCTTCAGGCCTGGCTGAAATACTCGGGCGTCAATGAAGGTCAACTGTCAACTTAGAATAGTGCCTAAAGATTACTTTGTGCGGCTTTAAACGTCCGTTAAGTGAAATGATGAATTTTTGAAGAATTTTGAAAACGGAAAAATGATAATTATGCCGGCCCAGCATCGTCAACATTGAAAAATGCCCCGGCATGAAGTGGCTAATGGAAATTGATCTCCAGTTACAGTCTAACCTCAGTGATAAGAGGTTCTTTTGTCTTCTCAGATTACCTTGTTATAACAGCAACCTTATGTTATCAGGTATGAAAACAATGAAGAACAAAGGATTTGGGCCTAGAAGTTTCCCGTTAAAGGAACAATGTTGTATTAACAGTGCTCTTATTAATGAGGTTCGAGAATGCTTTTTTAACAATGCTCTTTGAAGTTCATCATAGCTACTTGTTCATTCATTTTACAGGTAAATTTGAACCTCCACTGTTCCATCCCAATGTTTACCCTTCGGGTACAGTCTGCTTGTCGATATTAGATGAAGAGAAAGACTGGAGGCCAACAGTTACAATAAGACAGGTAATGCAATAGACTGTATTTGTATGTTGGCTCTTTTCAATTGACAGTGATGTTAACTTTTCGTGTTTGGAACCTGAGAGTAAAAATCACAGCGTTGAAGTAAAAGTTTATAACAAATTAATGCTAGTTTTGTCTTCTGAATAATTTGAAATTTTGTGATAAACCCTATTAACCCCTTGACGACGGGAATTTCTTTCCGAAAGCCGACTACAAGAATTCCAGCCTCGCTTGGCCACGAAGGCCACCTGCCAAACCGCAAATTCTCAGTTTGTGACCCTGCGTGCTCTGCACGCTTTGAATTACACAGTGAAAAGGCTGATTGTTCGGTGGCATACGGCTCTACTCACGCCTCCACATTCCCGTTGCCTCTTT